TAGGGTCTAGGGCTTACATTGGGCCTAGGTTTGGGGGATATAGGGGTAATAGGGGCATACGTGCGTGTATATATGTATGTGTGTGTTGATGTCATTATCTTATGGCTTAAGGTTTACTACTCGGAGGCTGTCTTGCCTCAGCAAGTCTATTCACATGTGGCATCCTTGGAGATGCGGCGGGTACGAAAAATCCTGCAAGACCCTAAGTACCCTAAACCTTGGGAATGATGGCATTACAGCGTAGCAAGGTCGTGCAGGATTTTGAGTATCAACGTGGATACAAGAAATCCTGCATGACCCTCAGCACCTTATACCTTGAGAATCATGGTACTATAGCGTACTAAGGTCATACAAGATTTTAAATATCAACAGTAGTAGGTAGACTTGCTAAGTCAAAACATCATCCAGAAGGGACTTCAAGCTTTCAGAGTTTAGTGTGGAAGTGGCTCAGTTAGGGTTTAGGGTTTAGGGCTCAGAGTTTAGGGCGTAGGTCGGTGTCCGACATCCTAAGCCCTAAACCTGAGCCCTTAAACCCTAAAGCCCAAACAGGATTTCTTGATTCCAGGCCTAATCTTTTGGATTTCAAGAAGTGATTTCAATAAGTGGGGAACAGCAGCAGGCACTTTGGGATTTGGGCATTTGGGGTTTCAGGGCTTGCGGGTAATCGCTTCATGCATGAGCCATAATGAATACAGAGAAGGAAGAGCACTTTGCTTTCCAACTTTAAGCTCAATGTTCCCGGGTTTGTTAGGGCTTAGGGTTTATAATAGGGTTTAAGATTTAGGGTTTAGGATTTAGGATTTAGGGTTTAGGGTTTATTAGGGTTAGGTTGGATGTGGTGCTTTCGCATGCTGGGTTTGTTTTCAGAAAGTCTTAGAAAGCTCCCTAAACCCTAAACCCTAAACCCTAAACCCTAAACCCCATAAGAGAATCTGATTCCACTGACTGACTGCCGCCATGCGGGAGCCATGGCCTGGAGCAAGCAATGCCCACTGTTTAGGGTTTAGGGTTTAGGGTTTAGGTCCAGTGAATAATGGAGAATCACATGGAAAGGAGAATGGAAAATGAAATGGAAATTGGGATTATGTAGGGGATTATAAGGTTATAGTCTGAACTCCCAGTGTCCTCCTGAATACTCCCCTATATAGTCCCCTGTATAACCTGCCTTTAACGAGTTTAGACTATAGCTCAAAATTACTGTCAGAACCTGACGCCATGTCAATGTGAGACCATTTCATACACAAACCACCATTAACGATACGTCGGACCGCCTGTCCAGCACAGGACTTACAGAACTGGCAGAATTCAGGGTTTAGGGTTTAGGGCTCCTAAACCCCGTAACCTCTACACCCTGAAGACCTAAACCCTGCCCTCAGGGGCTGCACTGCTTTTGCAGTGCTTCAATTGTAGTCCCCCTTAAGTAGATAGAATATGGCTTTGGGTATGTTATGATAAGATCCTCATATACTCCACATTCTATCTACTTAAGGGGGACTATATCCATCATGATCTTCCATCCAGCTGCCCTCTCTGCTCCCGCTCGCTGGGGAAAGGAGCGACGACCTGTAGCAGATAACTGGGTCGCCTAGTGCTTGAGGCGTGGGAGCCTGGATGAGTAACCTGCATTTTTGGGAGGGTTTAGGGTTTAGGGTGGGACATGCACTGCGCAGGTAGCTTGTGGGCCACAAGGTTTAGGATGAAGGCATGGAATTAAGGACCAATGTATTAGATCCTCTGTCTCTGGAATCTGTGTGCCCCAATCCCTTTTTTTGGCAAAGCCTACATAAAACCCCTCGGAGTTAATGCAAAGACTCGCCGCAGCGCATTCATGCCTCTCTACGTTTGAGGGAGCTTTTTTCAGGTAGTTGAAAGGAGTGCAACATGAGCTTCTTATAATTAGAATACTATACGCAAAAGGAGATGATAACCTTACGTCATATTTGGGTTCCCACACCTACTCACTTGAGCTGTGGTCCATATGCCTTCTGCCCTTCCAGAACTGAAACGCTTCCCCTCACATTGGGAGCCCGCCTACCCTCCGGAAAACCCATTTTCGTGCTTCTAGCCTTAAGCCTACATCATGCCCCATTGTACTCTCCAAGATCTGCACAGAGCCATTACGCCCACTGAGCCCGACACACCGCGGCAAGTAGGAAGAAAGTCCCCCCGCGGAAGGAGGCTGCTGCCATGGTAATGAGTTAAACCTAGACCTGAAAGAGTTGTTCTGCGGCTTACTGCATTGTGGGAGGGCATCTGCACTTCAAAGGGGCTCCTAAGCGTGTAGGGGTTTTATGATGAAGTACCCGGTAGGGTTTTCAGTTTTGAGGATACACGCTATTCTCTAAATTTCACTCAAGTCGCAGCTCGACTGCGAGCAAAATGTTGGCAGCTTCCATCCCTGGCCCGAACCCGTAGATGATTAGGGGTATACAAGAGTTATGTAGGGGTGGGTGTATAGGGTTATATCAGAGAATGGGATTATATAGGGGTATCTAGGGCTCAGGGTACCACTAATGGACGAATTAATGGCAAAGAGAGTGGAAAATATGTGGGTTGTTCTCAAAATTATTGGCCGCTTTCGGTTATAGATTATATTACGGCACCTAATATCTAGGGGTCCTAAAATGGAACCCGAATTTTGGAAACTAACCACATGGAAATCCGAGGTCCCTTTAAAGGGGCAATACAGACATCATCTAAAGTTAATAACGACAATATTTAGGGGCCTGGAGGTTCAAGCTGGACTCCGTGCATTACGAAGACGACGGAAACTGCCCCCCCAAAGGCACAGGTATCACTATGCAACGGCGTGGGATTCATTATTTCCCATGGAACTTCCACCCACCAGCCATCAAACCCCAAACCCATACTCTGAAACTCTGAGACCCCCCAAAAAAAACTGAAATCCTAACCCCCCCAAGCCTCCAAAACCCTATAACGTATAACCTGTAACATCAAGCTCGAAACCCTAACACCCCATATCCGCAACTACAATCTCTCTCTTGCGCGGCCGGGATTATTCTTCCAAACTTAAGGGTCCCCCTTACAAGACTACTGACAGTATTTAGGGGTGGTCTAGGCTGGGATCCTCCTATTTTGGAAAAGAACATGGAGTCTCTCTTTTTTTGAGGGCGGTAGACTTTGCTGGGTCTCCTTCTTGTTACAAGTAGTTGCCAGCTTGGGAGAGGGTAAGTTTTCACTGGGTTTCAAGGTTTAGGGTATACTGTTGATGGTTTAGGGCTCTGCCTTTACCTACACGTCCAAACCCGCATCATGGCCCTTCAAAGCTACACCATCCCAAAGCAGACCCTTGCTGTGATTCGTAAGCCCTAAACCTGGACCCTAGCCCCGAGGCCCTGCACCTTCACCTGCAGAAAGGGATAGAAAAGTTTGTTGGCATACCCAGTTTAAAAACATCCTATATTGTCTTGGTGCCCTTTCAAGTCTTGTCGAAAACAGCTGACAAGTGCTGAGCCTCTACAAGCATGAGACGCAGAGGACAAGCAATTAGGGCCCTAAACCCTAAGCCCTAAACCCTAAATCCCTAGATCCTAAATCCCTAAATCCTAAACCCCCAACCATATTGTCTGCAGGAGCTCGCTCGGACTTTCTAAATCCATGCGTTCACCGGCGTCGACGCCACTCGCTGCCGTCAGGAAAGCGAAGACCTCTCCACAGGATGCTGCGTAGGGTTTGGGGTGTTTAGGGTGTAGAGGTTTGGGGGCTTGGGGTTTAGGGGCTTAGAGCTTAAGGGTTTAGGCCGTCAGGTTTAGGGGTTTGAGGTTTGAGGTCGGTTTTGGGGCTGGATGAGATCTTGCATGCGCACCGGGTAGCAAGGAATTATTCAATGGGCTACCCGCTAAACCCTAAACTCCAAACCTTTGGGGATAATAGGTAGACTTGCTAAGTCAAGAAGTCTTAGAGTAGGAAAAGGGCACTGCCACATATCCGACGGTGTAGGCACATAGTGGCGCAGGATGTGTGCCTCAATGAAAGGTTTTCAAGGTCGCAGGGAGATTTAGCGAGAAAAAAAGAGGGTTCCCTTCCGGGAGCTCTTGTGATCAGGAGAAACCATACTTTCGGGTCGAGAAGCTGGACCCAAATGTCTGCAAATACTTATGTACAATCATTAAGTTTTGGGGTTGTACCCCTGCTGTAAGCAACACTAGAAGCAGAGTTTTTTTTTTCAGAACAAAGCTAGAAGACTGTGTGACATCACTGGGGTCACTGGAGTCTCCTGGTCCGCTTTCTGGTGGGCGCACCCCTTCAATGCAAGGAACTAAGATTTTTCGGCATTTCCGAAGCTTCATACATGGAAAGAACCGGACTTTGAGGGTTGTGAGGAGACGACCCCGATCCGCCCCATGAGCCTCATGATCTGCTGCCAAAGCCTACAGGCTAAGCCCGAGAACACAGCGTCGGGCAATGATCCCTGTTCATAATTTGGAAACCACTAACCATGTGGTAGGTTGTCGACATTCTGGCTCCTTTTGGTGGCCTTAATTTCAAGGGTAATCAAGTGGCCACCGAAAGGGAACAGAATTCGGGCAATCCCTTGTGTAATGCTGAACAATCTCTTGCCACCTGCAGCCCCGCAGATCTATAGTCCCCCTTAAATAGATAGAACATGGCTTTGGGTATGTTATATAAAGATCCCCATATACCCCACATTCTATCCACTTAAGGGGGACTATACAACAAATCTTGTACATCCCTCCTTTGCTATCCATGTTCATCCCTTCTTCCCGCACATCGCGATCATAAACCACAGAGAAACCTGAAACTTTCAGGCTTCATTCAACCTTTCTCGGTTTAGGGTTGAGGAGTTAGTGGGATTAGAATTTAGGAGTTTTGGGGCTTTAGGGCTAACTTCTTAGGGGCTAAGGATTGCAAATTTACGGCTTTGGACTAGGGAGTGCAGGTTAGGGTCAGTTGCACAGGGCTTGCGGCTTGATGTTTGCCTTTTGGGGCTTCCAAACCCTGAACCCTGAGCCGCCTACTCCAGGCACCCAGGTGGCTATGACTTCGGAGGGGCCTCCTGGCCGGCAGGTGTTGAGCGCTAGATAGGGTTTAGGGCTTGAGATTTAGAAGTAGGGTTTGTGTTCAGGCGCTTTAAAGCTAATATAGGGCACGGGGTCTAGAACTTAAGATTTAGAATTTAAGTTTTATGGTTCTTGTCAGCTATGATAGTGCAGGGACCATGTTGGGGGTTCGACTTTTTTTATCCTCACAGGGCAAACCTTAAGCTTGAAACCCAGGCTTGTTGAAGGTGCAAGAGACCCTGAAGGTGCGGCTTAGGGTTGAAGGTATTTGCTAGGTGGACCCCCCACCCACCCAGAAATGGTCTTAGGGTTTAGGGTTTAGTCTGTTTAGGGTTTAGTGTTTACGTAGGTTTTACGGGGTCACGATAGGAATCTTCACGTCCTCTTAGATTCCCATGATACCGCTATTGCAGGGTGGGGAGGGGTCCGTAGTACCGAATTCAGAGACAGTCTCTGCCAAGTCCCCATAACGGCCAAGGCTAGCGATGAGGCTGCAGAATAGAATAGGGGTTTGTGGGTTTAGGGGTTTAGGGCTTGGGGGTTTAGGGTTTGGGGGTTTAGGGTTTGGGGGTTTAGGGTTTAGGGGTTTAGGGTTTGGGGGTTTAGGGTTTGGGGGTTTAGACACGTAGGGTTGAGGGTTTAGGGTCGGCTTAGCAAAGGAGACATTCAATGCGAGGAAGTGAAGGTGAGAGTCATAGAGCAAAAACGCCCATGCAGAATCACCACGAGCGATACTGACAATCCTGCATGGCCCTAACTCATTACGGTATACCGTGGGCTTTTGGTGTTCGGGTAACATGAAGTGATGCAGGATTATTAGTATCAACCGTATGGGGTACCCAAAACGAGACCCTTGGTCCTAAACCCCAAAACCAAGACCCTAAAGCCTAATCCCTGAACCCTAAACCCTAATCCCAAACCCCTAAACCCAAAACCCTAAACCAAAAACCCTAAACCCAATGCCCTCTGGGCCACAAGAACCTCTCACCCCCCAAAAGCTCTCCTCTTGCTGAGAAGTCGAGGAGCAACCTTGGGGATTTAGGGTTGAGGATTTAGGTTTGAGGACTTAGGCTTAAGATGTTTAGGGTTTAGGATTTACGTTTTTT